ACCATAGGAAACATATTGATTGTTTGGAAGTAAACTAAGCAAACCCTTGTAGCTATCTCCTCGACCATTCCAAGTATTACTCTACATGACTTCAAGAGTGTGGATGGTTAAGGACTATCATTACACATGTTACAACTAAAATATCTCGTAATTATCTACTTGTAACTCATTTCTATATAAAAGGCATGTGATTAATGAGAATTACATATTCCCTCTCTCTATTGTATTGTTATTATGTTTCGTTTGTTCTGTAACACCAGACCAATTTTTATATAAAATTTTGTTTTTCTTTTTTTTGCTGAAGATTTTTACAGGAGATGCTCAAAATTTCAAAATCGAACTCAAGTCGAGTGTTATCTAAAATCAAACCAAAAGATCACAACGTATTTCATATCATAGCAGTTTTTTGATGACGGGGCATACACATACTTGCTCAATAACTCAAAACATTCGTTCTCGTGAATATCTTAGGGTCATGCAAAAGTGCAAGCTTGTTTCTGACATTTTATGATGTAAAAAAGGGTCGTCAGTAAGCATGATTTTTTTTTCAATTACATTATTTTTTATCATAAAAAATAATATTGAATTCAGTAAATACTAATAATTCATATAAAACTATTTTTCGAATATTCTTAGACACAAAATCAATCAATGATTCTTTCTGAATCAAAACTATCTACCATATCATTTTTACATAGCACCATCAATCTGTTCTACCGTCAAAAATGATATACCATTAATATATATATATATATATATGCACACACTATATCATAATGCGTTTGACAAAAACTCTTAAAAACCATTTTTTATGCATGAAGTACTGTTTATTATGCATATTACTTAAAATTCAAGATTACAAGTGAATTGTGCATAAGTACAACTTATTAAAACTTCATGTTTGAATTCATGTAACTAATTTCAAATAAACATAATCAAATAGAGAATAAACATCTCATTTTAAATATAAAAAAACTAAAATATAATTAAGATAATTATTGAGTTTTAATAAAATACTTAATTATTATGTTTACAAAAAATTATATTATTAAACCAAAAATAAAAAAATGAATTAAAGAAATACGGAAAAAAATGAGAAATTTCAAATAGTTAGTCTGATACTAATATCAATATTTTTTTAATTTTTTATGATATCGTATTTATATTTTACTCAAAAATAAAAACATTATCGTTTTCTCAAAGCCACATAAAAATGTATTATAATATAGATTAAGACAAAAAAAAACTAAAATCGAGATTTATCTTGCTGCATTGTGCGAGCACCCTTCTAGTATATATATATATTTGGGGTCACAAACACTCACTATTCAGAGTAACCTTCTAAGATAAACAACACTGTAAAATGAACGACTAAATTAACTATCTATATATTTTCTTTTCTAATGTAATTAATTAATACATGTTTGCACGCGTAATATAATACTAAATTTCTTTTTGGTTCCTACTAAATACTAAAAAAATTGTCTCTTTTATTTACTATTTTTTTTTGAATTACTACTGCATACTAAAAAATTAGATCCCTATTACATAAAACTTCAATGGTCATGTTAGCTATTGTTTTCTACATTTCAACTAACAATACAAAGAGATTGAACTATATTGTTTGCAAGAATTGACATCACGTGAGACAATACTGTTTTCGTGAGATACGGTTTTTAAAGTTGAAACTTCATAGCAAAACACTGTGATGGTAACCTTCACAGTGTTTTTGCTATGAAGATTTTTTTTTTTTTTTTTTTACCTTCACCACATTTTATTGTGAAGTTTCAAATGTAAAAATCGTGTCTTACGTGTCTCAGGAAAACAGACTTGTCTCATGTGAACCCAATCCTTATTTACAATCTAATCAACACTTAAAATAACACACCATAAAGACGGACACGAACATTTATTTACACATGTTGATGGAATGCCTATGTCTACATGGCATTGCCCGATAGTCGATCAATGCACTATAACCAACAAATAAGGTTTCAAAAGTATATGGAATTATAACTTAACGTCAAGACTTTTACTTATATTTGAATGTCACATACTTCGACCGAAAAGGGTACGATGCCACCTTGTGGAGCACCTCAACATTCGTTATATCATATGTCACTCATGTATGATAATAACGTTCGTCTCTCTCTTGTTGACGTTAGCAATATACAATTTATGGAAGAACCTAAGAAACATGTTAAAAATGTGTGTTGTAGTTAATGAAGAAAAACATATGATTACTTCTATGTAAAGAACTTAAAGTACAATTTGTTTGTAATCATAAGTCAGTATGTATTCATGTGTTATTTTTCAAATGGACGAACTGCTGGATCAAATCCATCAGTAATCACACATGTTATTATTTTTCACTTTTAAAGATTCTTCATTATCAAATATTAATCACATGTGATTAAATTATAAATAGTACGAAGCTCTAATCACATGTAATTTAATTATTACTCAAAATCATTTCATATATTGTTGCGGTAAATGGTCAAATATGATTATTTATCATGAAGAAATCTAAAATAAAATGCTTTTGCTAATCATAAGTCAGTAATCACATGCGATTTCAAAAAATTCATGAAGATATAGTTCCAAAATTCATGGAGATATCGTTCCTAATATCTCACCCACCTTTGAAACAATTACAAAATTTGATTTTTTTGTTCCATTTTTTCCTTAAAAACAATTGTCTCCTGTGAAAACAAGCCAATCTGGCTTCTTATTTACAATTTTTGAGATTCCTAATATTAACCGAATGATGTGTGCGGCTTAAACGAGTTCTCACCTTCTAGTAAGCTTACTACATTCTCGTTTGATCATGCCCAATGTGTGTGTATATATATATATATATAAGAAGAGAGAGAGAGAGAGAGATGAAAGTTTAAATGAGAATAGTAAGTTAGTAAGCAAATAAGAGAAGACGAAAACGGTCAAATTATGTGTAATATCGCATGTGATTTTACATTAACGGTCAACGCAAAAGTGTGCGTGCGACATGGCCCGCGGCCTTAGATTGCGACCAAAGTCGTGTGAATCACATGTGACTTTACACATGATTTTAGTGTAAAATCACATGTGATTTAACCGTTTTCTTATTCACTTATTTGGTTATTGTTCTCGTATGAACTTGACTTTCTCTCTCTCGCTGTATATATATGAGTTCTAATACGAAGGCCAAATTTCATGAAAGGTTAGATTAGAAGTTTAAGGTAAGATTCATGTGAATCATTTAAAAGAATCTATTTGAAGATGCATATGTGAACTGATGTTATAGATTCTTCATATGGGTTCATATATGCATATTTAAATGTATTATTTCAATGATTCACATATGAATTTCTCTTATTACCTTCTCACAATATTTAACATTCATATTTGAACCTCCCACTATATATATATATATATATATATATATGAAACAATATTCTAAATTATAACATCTGTGAGATGTTTTCCTTCAAGCCCTAGGACAAGCGCCTCATGGTGGATCCAGGCAGTTAGCCATGCGACTTTAATCGCCCAATTTTCCACATTATTCACTGTGATCTGTCCCACTCAAGTGGCTCCGGAAGTCGGTTGCACGTTTTTGTCTATCATTCTTGTGAGACATATGTTTTCCCTCGTGTAGCCAAACTGGCCTAGATTTTTGGTGCATGGGTTTTTAATCTGGTAGCTGCTCATTTCCCTTTACATCGTAGACTTCAAAATAATCAGATATAAGAAACCCCCGATCTATCAAGAACTCTTTCATTTATCTATTGTAAAGGCTATAATCTCTCATTTGTATCATCATCAAAGTTATAGTAGATCGATTCTCGGCATCATCAAATTTGGAACATTTCACTCTTTCTTACGCTTTGTCCTTTCGAAAAAGATTTTGAAGTGTAAAACTGTCTAAAAATTTTGTGGTATCACATCTTAATCATTTCTTTTTTAAAATTACCAAAATAGACATAGGTTTGTAATTGGCACGTCTATAATTTACGGAGTGGTCAGAGTGAAAGGGAAAAAAAAAAGTTTTTGAATCAAATCCACAATTACAGGGATTAAATATGTAAATTTGAAAAAAAAAAACATTCACAATTTTACTAACCTATTAATTAATTTACATATTTTATATATTTTTTCATACTTTGACACCTTCATAAGTCATAAACCTACCGATTACACTCTTATAACTATTTTCGTAATTTTAAGGGGCGTTCGAAATTGCTTATTTGAAACAATTTATGTTTTTCCTGTAAAAGTTTTTATCAACTTATTATAAATGAGAATGATTTAACTTCTTCAAAAACTCCTTATTACCGGTTTGGCACCGATATAAATTATTTATCCAAACACTCAAAAGTGTTTATTATCGATGTCATACTGGAATAAGTCAATAAATTATTTTTATAAGACCAAAAAAATTCAGCAATTACCAAACACCCTTAAAGAGAAAAAAAGGAAATTCAGGGGTTGTTTGGTAATTACTGAATGTTTTGGTGTAGAATGATTAAATTATACTTGTTTGGTAATTGTGTACAATAAAATTAGAGCTCTTAATGGTTAAGAAAGATCCAGTATACAAAATTATTTAGATGATTTTAAAACCATTAAAAAATATATATTTTTTACCAAACAAGATTCACCTTTTAAAAATTTAAAGATTGTTTTCTAACATAACTATTAAGAGTAAACAAACAAACCTGAGGTATTTTAATTGATTTCCTTTGGAAATCCTCCAGCAAAAAGGCTATTAAGATTGACAGTCGGTGAAAATGGGAAGTCGTAGATATATAGGGGGAAGGCAGGCAGGCAAAAGGAAACATTCGCCGTCGTCCCTCCCATACATGCATTTAATTCACTCCATCATTACCATAATACTCATACTCCTCCTCTCTCTCAAATCCAAAATTCAAATTCCATCGTTTCTGTTTCTGTTTCTGTTTCTTTTTATCAGTAGTATAAATTATCGGATCATATTCTTTCCACCTAGCTAAGCTTCATCAATGGCGAACCATGTTGTTTCCAGAGCTTTAGACCCCAAAGCTTCTCCATACCATAAGATCTCGGTCTCCGATCATCTTTATGTTGTCGACATCCCACAATCTTATCCATGTTATCAGCTGATCACTCCTCCTCCTCCTCCGTTGCAGTTCGAGATTCTGCAACCCTTTATTGCCATTTCACCTTACGTCTACGATGTTCATCTCCAACCATCGCCACGTAAGTCAGTACCACCACCGTCGCCGGTTTCGGGGAAGAAAAAGAGTATCGTTCTAACCCCAGTTCCGTCGGGTCCTCGGATCCCCAAAGCTCGGGTCCCTCGTCACTTCCGCCGAGTTAACAAGGTGGTGCGTGTGGAGAACTGCCGTGGAGCTCGTCAAGAACAGAAATGGCGGCCAAAGACTTGTGTAGGAGACAAAGAAACAGGAAATGATGTCAAGAAACAAGTAGGGTGTTTTGAAGGAAGAAGACGATGGAAGAACAGAAGTGGAGAGTATCAACAAGTTTTACCACTTGAAGCAAAATCAACTTCTGTGATGATTAAAAACATTCCAAATAAATACACGTAAATCTGTCGATCTGTCATTTATGGCGACTATCTCTTCATTTGTTAACCTCCTTTCATCTCTCTCTCTCTCTCTAACTCATGAGAGAGAAGATGAACAGTTGCATTTAATACATGGGGTTTTCTTAAAATGGGAAGCATAAATGTGGAACCAGTCGGTAAAAGTTTCATGTTTTTTGCAGGAGAAAGCTGTTGATCCAAACATTGGATAATCATTGCAAGGTTGAGAACGAGAAGATCAAGAATGATGAGACAAAGAACCTTGTTTCTGCTTATGATTTTCTTTATCTACCCATTGATTTCAAGTAAGTTTACCTCTCAACCCTCATTTTACTGTGTGTTCTTGGTGTGTACATATATGATTAATACCAACATTTTATTTACAGTCATCGGGTGAACGCTGGTTTCGCATTTGTCAACTTCACCAATCCAAATGCTGCAGTGAGATTTCGAGATGCTTTTCATGGCAAAAGTTGGAACTTGTTTGACAGTCCAAAGATCGCTGAGATTTCAGGAGCCAGAATTCAGGTACATATTTTTTAAACCAAGTTATTAACGAACTCAGATCATTATTTCTTCTTGCACCATTAGTGTTTCTTTATTGGTGATTTTTAGGGCAGAGAAGCTCTAGTGAACAACTGCAAGATAATGGATTTCACTTACGGGTCTGAAGAAGACATGCCAGTCTGTTTTGATCCGGCAAGGGATGGGTCGGGTCGGGTTCATTCCAAGATGTATACAGTGGGAAAGTTTGTTCAATGGGGTAAGATAAAATCTGGGAAGTAGTAGCCAATATGCATTTGTAACAATCTAGGGTTTTAGGCAAGTGTAAAAGACCCTTTTAACCATTAGGGTTTAATGGGGTCTCATCATCATCTTATTTTCAAGAATTAGGGTTTTAGCTTGAAGGGTTGTAACCAGTATGTAGGGGTGGAGCTAGCCACCTGAGCCAAGATTGGGTTTTGTCCATGGCAGGGTGGTTGGCTCCACCTGGTTTGTGGTTGTGATCTGTTTGTTGTTTAATAATAAAAAAGATTTGAGACTAGAATGATGTTAGTGATGCTTTCAACTGAGAGTGCCTTGTTCTTGTTGCTTGTTGCTGTTTTGGTGCAATTGTTGGCTTTTTGTGTGTTTTATGCATGTAAGTTGACTTATGTCCAGTGTTTGACTTGTTGACTAGATTAGCACATGACATCCTTCAGACCACTGGTTCTTCATTTGTTGCTCAGATTCTTCCATAAAGATGGAGGTTCCAAAGTCTACATCCATTTTGGTTGAAACCATATAAAGCATAAGAGTTGCTTTTGGGTTTTAGCAGAGGATATGAATGGTACTGAGTTTAGAACAACAAGACAAGTATAAGGATCTCCAAAGCATAATCAAGACAAAAACTTGCAGCAAATGATAAAACAAGGTCAAAAAGTTGAGTTGCATTCTGTTGCCAATTCTTTGTTTTTAGGATTATAGGATCATATCAACAACACACTTATGATATGTGATAATACTTGTGAGAGGGCTTAGTGATGTAAGAGCATCTTCAATGGAGGTTAATGGAAGCCATTACATGCATTGTGAAGGGAAGTTAATGGAATAGAGGTTATTGGCCATTGTATGCATAATGAAAGTCAATGGGACCCACTAATTTATTTTTTCTTTTATAATTAAATTTGTAAGGATTTAATTATGATATTATATATATATATATATATATATATATACTATAATATAGTATTTATTAATCAATAAATTAATTTTTATTTTTGTTTTTCTTAATTTATAAAAACAACATAATTAATAAAACAT